ATTTTATTATGTTTTATTTTAATTATTTTATAATTTCCATTCTACGTGACTTTACCGAAAGAACCAAGAAGGTTGTGGGCTTGTTTGCGTATTCTGTGCCTGGCTTTATCTGCTTGCACAATACTCGACGGCTGATGCCGCGCGTTAAACAGCCACAGCACTGGGGGAGCTATCACAGAAGGTGAATCTGTCGCCAGGGAATGTTCATATTAAATTCCTCGCGCACACAATTACACGGGATTACTGCTGGAATGGCATGTCAATTGATTAATGGTATGAGCGTTATTATATAATTGTGCAAAAGAAGAAAAACAAAACTCGGTTCTAGATGCTTTTGAAATTATCTGCTGAGTTATTGAGACATGTATCCTCATGCTTACAAATAATGTATCACGACTATCCCTGCTGTTATGGTTACAGCTCCCATGAAAACTTCACTCATTGATTCCTCGACCCTGATTGAGGACTCGATCTAGCAGACTGTTTCGTGTCATCCACACTGGGGGTTACAGCAACACACTCAACCATCCATCCACTCACACACTCACTCACTCAAACTCACTCACACACTCACTCACTGACTCACACACTCACTCACACACTGACTCACACTCACTCACACACTCACTGACTCACCCACTCACTCACCCAATACAAAGATCCCCCATATTGTTTCAACAGACTGTTGGAGCAAGTGCTGTTGGCGATAACCTATGAAGGCCGGCATGGCACACCATGTACTCGTTTGAGGCTGAGTTGACCTAGGTGAGGTCCATGACCAGTTCAGATAATCGTGCCTGGTGTTGGCCGTGAGCGTAGAAATCAAACTCGGTGGCCGGGTTTGTAGTGCAGCGCGCTAACCACTACACTACCGCTCCCCACTCACACACACTGACTCACCCACTCAGTGACCCACCCATTCACTCACTGACTCATCCACTCACCACGCTACACGCCAAAATATGTTTTCTTTCTGCGTTTTCCCTCTCACAGCTCTCACTTTGGAATTCCCTCCCTTTGCTGTATCCAAGCAACGTACTACAGTAGCTCTTCATCGATGGCGCCCTCGATAGTGCTGTTTGTTGCTGGCTACTTGGCGTTTTGAGCCTTGATCTGAGCACGTGCGTGCTGAGCGCACAGCGACCTCAAACTCGAGAACTGTGCAGCTTGACGGAGCCACTAGTCATAAACGCGCCAACCGTGCAAAGGGGGCGACCTTTTTCAAAGCCACGCGTGCACCCTGGGGTGTTCAGAATGCAGCGTTATGGTTGAGTGGGATTTCCACTAGGAGGAGCCCCAGGTCAGCCGGTTTGCAATGCATTTCGCACCAGTATTGGCCTCAACATGCTGTACAACAAGTAGTCTAGAAACACCAGCACGTTAGCGAGCGCCTATTAAGGATGGCACAGTGGTTTAGAGGCCGACACCACGCGCGCTCAGGACGTCTTCAGCTCCCTATTGCTGACGTTGACCGACGCAGCACCAGGTACTCATTTGAGGCTGAGTCGACCTAGGTGAGGCTCGGGCCAGGGGCAGGCTATAATTATTGCTTGTGGCTGGGAAGTAAACGCAGGTGACTGGGATCACGTGCTTGACCAAAATTCCCCCCCAACACCACCACGATTCTGGTTCAGGCAGTAGCGTAACGAACGTGGGGACAGGGGGGGGGTACCTTGCCCCCCCCCACCCACTACCCCCTGGTGGCCAAAGCTACGAGTTGGGGCCCCCTTGACAACCACCGTGAGATTTGTGTTCAACAGCAGTGTAAAAGAATAAAAGCTACGTAATGATGTGAGCTTTACTACCCCGACTTCACCCGAGACTTGGATTCTTGTCTTGGATTAATACACGGCGGAGGGTTGGGGGGGGGGGGTGTATGCGTGACGTCAGCAGGCACACTGCGTGACGCTGCCGCATGCGGGTGACATCACAGATGTGACGTCACCGCTCACTTGCCGTGCAAAATATATCCATTATTGCGCCCCCCCCATCCCCCAAAATACAAAAGTGTATTTTTATAATTTTTGCATGGTGTACAGTTTGGAAAGTACCCACATGGCAAATTTCAAGTTTGTTGCATGTCGGGAAGTATGCTAAACATTTCGAACAGACACACATATTCACAAATGCCCCTTTTATATATAGATAGAAGATAGCGCAGATGCGGCCGTGCGAGACAAATCAAGCACTGGGGCCCCACCTGACCGATTGCCGCCACCCACTGAGCCGGGTCAAGGTTAAATAATTTATATTTTGTCGTCTCATTCTTTCAAATCTCATTTGTATTGTTTCATTTGCATTGTTTCATTTGCATTGTTTCATTTGCATTGTTTAATTTGTATTGTTTCATTTGTATTGATCATTTGCATTGCTTCATTTGCATTGTTTCATTTGCATTGTTTCATTTGTATTGTTTCATTTGCATTGTTTCATTTGCATTGTTTCATTTGCATTGTTTCATTTGCATTGTTTCATTTGTATTGTTTCATTTCCATTGTTTAATTTGTATTGATCATTTGCATTGTTTCATTTGTAATGTTTCATTTCCATTGTTTCATTTGCATTGTTTCATTTGCATTGTTTCACTTGCATTGTTTCATTTGCATTGTTTCTTGCCTCATTGTCTTACGTGCACAGTTTCAATTGCTGCAAAATGTACCGTAAGCTTGGAATTTGCATACCGATTTACACATCATTTGCATGCATTGCTAATTATTCGATTACCTGTTTTAATTGGTAAATACATCAATCGATATATGATTAGTCACCTCGCCCACCACAGAGACAAAGATTCCTCATATAGCCTGAACAGACTATTTGGGCAAGTGCTGTTAGTGAGCACATTTGAAGACTGGCACGGCACACGAGGGGGAAGGTGGCTGGTACCACGCCCGGCCGCCTTTGTCTCCCCAGTGGCGATGTTTACACACCGCACCAGGTACTCATTTGAGACTGAGTCAACCTTGGTGAGGCTGGGTTCGTAGCGCAGCGCGTTAATCACTACATACACGCTACCCCACCACACACACACGCACACACTGTAATACATACAACAGAACATATGCACACGTGTGAACAGATGAAGACTGTTCATGCTCTTGTTCCACGTATTGTTTACGAATGACGGAACCCATGCTTAAGTGTGATAGGTTGCTATTCGTGATTTTGGCCTATCTGCGGATCGCACGACGACTGCACCAAGAGAGAAAGAGAGAAACGAAGTAGAATGTGTCGAGATAAAGTGATGAGAGAGAATGGGATGCGAGAAAGTGATGCAGATCAAGCCATGCGAGAAGAAAGTGATGAGATAAAGTGATAAGAGAGAAAGTGATGAGTTGCATTATTTATTCATGTATTTATTTAAGGTAATTCATTACAAATGATGAGCATCTCAGGGACATATCCCGCGTGAATAACGAGGGAATACTGCAATAATACAGCAACAATGGCGATGGTAATTTTTTTTCCAAATTCCTGCCACTCTCCGTGCACCAGAAAATATCCGTTGCTTAGAATTCTCCTGCTTTGAGATTCAGGTGTAGGGCTGCTGCTACCTGTGAGCTAAATAAATCCAGGACATATAATGAGAAGAAGGATATCTCACAATTCCGAAAGAGGAGAAAACTACATATAAATGCACTGTCTGGTCTTGAGTGTCGTATCATTACGCAACGGATGCAAAAAAAAACCCTAAACTTTTAACATCCCGGTAAGGCTTACAGACTTCCCTGCACGGCAACTTCAACAAGTGGGACGAGCCTGGGAAACAACCAGGACAGGTGACAACCCACGACACAATGACTCTTGCAGTCACTTCAATGGGTTTCTCCAGCCCAGCACCATTCGGCGTTCCTTCCTCTCTCACAAGCGCACATGGACGCTCGCGCACAGAGACAAACACACAGAGGGTTCGCCTTCCAGTCGTATGAATTGGGGCAGTATGCAGGAGGTCGTGAGTTTGAGCCCCAAACCCTGGCGATGCCTGTATATTTGGAGTTTGCGTGTCTCTCTCCCCTTGGTTGCGTGGATTCTTCTCTGGGTCCTCCAGTTTTTCCCTCCGCATTTATAAACATCCGTTTAGAGCATTTGGCCGCGATACATTTCCACGTGATGAGCGACTTCGTTGGAGATATCATTTGTGGCCATGTTGCTACTGGAAAAGTGCGACGTAGCTCAGTGGGTTGTACCTGGCAAAACACATGAATGCAATTGCATTGTTGGGGCAAAGCGCCGTGAGCGAACGTCTATTGAGGCCGGTATGCCAAAGGCACTGCTGTGACGCACACCCCGTCCCGCTGCCCACCGGAACCGCCACCTTTTGTCTCCGCACGACAACGCTGTTGACAACGCTGTGCCATGTGCCGTGTGCTGTGTGCCGTGTGCTTACTTAAAGGCTGCATCAACTTTGGGGGAGACCCAAACGCCAGGTTTAGATAACAAGTGTCACCGGCAAAACAGGTGAGGAGCTAGGAATTGAACGCAGCTGATTGGTAGTTCTACCATGTCACTAATTTCCCGACCATATACAGTATGCCCACACAGGCTCACACAAGGATAGATATCCCCTTCAACTCTTGTATGCCGTCGAGGTAAGTGCTGTTAGCGATAGTTCATCAACGCTTGGTGGGGTCGCGTGGGTAGCACCACGTCTGGCCACCTTTGTCTCCCCAGTGACGATGTTTACACACCGCACTGGGTACTCATTTGAGGCAGAGTCGACCTAGGGGAGGCCCATGACCGAACTCAGGTCCACCGGGTTAGTAGCGAAGCACGCTAACCGCTACACGACCGTTCCCCACAACATATCCACACCGGTTGAATACATACACACACGTTCACTCGCGCAACGGACACACACACTCCTAAATCTATGGCCAGGAATCAGACCCAGGTGGCCGGGATTGCAAAGGCAGCGCATGGGCCATTGCGTCACCGTTGCACCGCGCAAGCACGCACGCACACGCACACGAGCGCACGCACGCACGCACACGCGTACTCGCCTGAACGCATTTCACGTTGATGCCGGGGCACACGAACTTGCACCAGATGAGCCGCGCGTTCCATTCCCCGCACGTGATGGCGTAAGTGGCTCCTTCCCCAGGGCTGGCGGTCACCGTGGGGGGGCCTGCTTGCACGCACGCAGAACCACGTGGGAGGAACACACACGCGCGCGCGATGAGTAAGCACGCGCAATAAACACAACCTTGCACAATGCTGCGCGCACAGACGACGAATATCCACTCCCCTGCCACTTTCCTCGCACCGGCCGTGCCCCCCTGCTCAGAACTGTACTGGCTTTAGATTCCTGTTAGGGCGGGTGCAGTGCACAAAGGTTGTGTGTGACCAGCACCACAGCCTTTGTCTTCTAGTGCTGAGGAGTACACACCTTAACAGGTACTTATTTAATGCCGAGTCTGCTTAGGGGAGGGCCCAGACAAATTATTACATTCCTCCCCACTGATATTTGCCATGGCCGGGAATCGAACCCAAGCTCACCACCAGCTCCAGGGCACCGTGCGCCAACCACTGCACCACCGCTCCCCACACAATAAAAGTGACAAAGATCTCCCATATAGCCTTAACTGAATGTCGGGGCAAGCACTGTTAGCGAGCACCTATGACGGCTGGCCCGGCATACCAGGGGGTGGGTGGCCAGGACCACGTCCGGCCACCTTTATCTCCCTAGTGGCGATGTTTACACACAGCACCAGGTACTCATTTGAGGATGAGTCGACCTAGGGGAGGCCCAGGACCGGTTCAGATAATCGTTACTGGTGGTGGCCATGAGCAGGAATCGAACCAGGGTGTCCGGGTTCGTAGCGCAGCGCGCTAACCGCTACACCACCACTCCCCACACGATAGAACGTGATGGCGTAAGTGGCACGCACACACACCACACACACGTCCCCATATACAGTACAATAGGCCATGCGTTATAGCAAAGAGCAGCACTTAGACCGGTCAGTGCCGTTGGTCAGCGCCCAATAAGGCCGAGTGGACAATGCGGCTTGGGTCACGTCGCTCACTCCTTCACCTCTGTGGCCCGCGCACCCACGTGCATCACTAGGGATGGATGATTTGGGGAAAATATCTAATTGTGATTTTTCTGACAGATATTGCGATTTGATTTGCGATTAATTTTTTTTAAATCAAGCTTCAGTTCAATATTTATTGTGTCATATATTTAAACACGTGATGGAGCATTACCACACGATACCATAAAAACAGGAACTGCTCTATATATTCTAATGCAAGGATGAGAACTTTAAAATATATGAATTGCTTCAAACGTGTCTTTATTAAAACAATCAAACATAGAACAACTGTTAAGTTAAATACATCAAGTTATAATAATAAAAGATGAAACAATTCCAATACGAAAGTAATAGGACTTTTCAAATCGCCAAAAATCGCAGCCTTTACGATCTGCTTATCGCATTATTTCAAATTGCGATTTCGATTTTAAATCGATTCATCGTTCAGCCCTACCACGCACCCAAGTGCTGCTCGCTTTTGGGCCGAGTCAACTTGGACCGCCGTCCAAGCGAAGTCGGGACAGGCACACCACGAGCGGACGGTGACGCGCACGGCCACCGAAATTCAACGTGGAACTGGTTTATATATAAAACAAAAACTGGAGGCCATACATCATTTAATTTCACGCTTTCTGGTCCGTGTAAGCATGGGCATGATGGCAATCGCCATTTACGACAACCGTCACCCGAGGAGGGTTCCTTTGCAGCGGCGCCGCCAATAATACCAATAACAAACAGCACGGCCAGGTATTGTGTAATCATATTCTTGTAATCCAGACACTTGAATGGGTGGGGTGAGTGGATCATTCAGAGATAGCGCCATCGTGTTTGTGATGAATACGTGATGTGTTGGTTACGTTAAAATGGGTTAAAATATCAGCTTGCCTTCTACAACTGCCTAATCTCACTACTACATAATCTCACAACTGCATAATCTCTCCACTACGTAATCTCACAACTACACAATCTACGACTACATAGTCTCACAACTTTTTAATTTAACTACATAATCTACAACTAAATTATCTCACACCTGCACAAATCTACAACTACACAATCCCACAACTAGATAATTTAACTACATAATCTACAACTAAATTATCTCACAACTGCAAAAATCTACAACTACATAATCCACAACTATATAATCTCAAGAAAATGTGCCTCTCTCACACGCTGCTCACAATTATGATGTGTGAAAACGTCGCGGTGGTCATCGTGAGCACGTTACAACGGTAGCAGTGCAATCACGCGATGTTGGAGACAGGCAAACGTGATCACAGATACGGAGATGTACAGAGATAACGACTGAAGACGTCAATCAGCAACATCGTCGTTATCTCCAAATAAATAAAGTCACTTAAGTGATGGTGGGGATTTGCTTTTCTGCATGACAAGGCTCCCAGCAAACTGTTTAAAGGATTAAATAATCCCCCGCGATTTGGAAAGCTACGTGAAATAAAAGTTAACTGCTTTGAATTTCACCATTTGGTTCACGCGACAACAGAAAATCGTTGGCATGCTATCGGACAAGACCAATTTTTTTTACACGTGGATTAAAAACTTGTTCACATTGCATTATAACGCGCGTGTCATTTATCACCACAGCACCGTATGGCATGTTTAAGAGTGTTGGCGCAGCCGTTAACGCACTGGCGCTATGAAGCCGAGCACCCTGGGTTCAATTCCTTCCCACGCGTAACATCTGTGGCAAGTGACTTTTGAACCGGTCCAATGGTCAAACAACCCCCATATCATCAACGCGATGTAGGGGGCCCTTTATCGAATGGTGGATTGACAAAGGGCATTACATTATTATTGGTATGATTATTCATCCATGAAACCTGAGTCTCAATAGTCTCTTTTCAGCAGGGTCCAACTTTTGAGACGTAAGCCTAGTTACATTTAGTGTGCAGTGGGGCTGTACGCGTGGTTGGCCTATGAGAAAATCATCCGGAATGCGTCTCAACTAAAAAAACGAAAACTATTTTTAATTTACCAGTTGAGGCTCACTAAGCTGCATGGCTCGTTTTCAGAAGCGACCTGGCCACAAATGATAGCTCAACAAAGTGGCTCACCACGTGGGGATTCATGAGCAGACAAATACCCTAAACGCACGATGCTTCTAAATTGTGGAGGGAAAAACAAAAATAATCTGGAGAAAAATCCACGCGACCACGGGGAGAGCACGGAAACTCCACATATACAAGAGTCATGGTCGGGATCAAACCCACGACCTCCTGCATACCAGCCGAGGGAGATAAGAACTCGCCCCTGCGGGTTCTGTGGTTGGATCTCGGAGGCTAAGCAGGGCTTGGGCCAGGAAAGTCCTTGGATGGGCGACCACCGTGCATACATTATATATAATTATCTGTTACAGTCACTGGAGGCTACTTGTTGGGCAGCAGAGGGCAGTACGGCCAAAATCAATTGCTGCAAAGCACTGCATTCTCTACGCTCCCACTGCTATGCTGCCTGCCTTCACCAACCCGTAATGACCAGCTTGGTGAAGTATGGTCAAATACTCCCATAACACGGACAGCATGGAGAGGTCCTCATCCAGCAGTGGATATATATAGCACACACACACACAGGCGCACATGAATGTGTTTACTTGTGGATGCTTTCGCTCTGCAAACCGCACTGCTGCAAAGATTAAAATAAAATGTTGCAATCATACCAACCACAATCCCAGCAATGTGCTTGCAATGAGTACTTGTTATGAGCTGGAAAGGTACTCCTTTTAGGCTGAGTCCACTTTAGGGGACACAACATCGGCACCCCAACACACACGCACACAATGAACACGTGGGACACACAGCGCCTTACCGCGCAGAACGCACAGGCACACACCATTACCACACACAAAGACAAAGATCCATCGTGTAGCCTTCACAAACTATTGAGGCAAGTGTTCTTAGCGAGTAGCACCTATGAAGGCCGGAACGGCACACGAAGGGAGTGTGTGGCCAGCACCACGCCCGGCCGCCTTTGTCTCCCTAGTGGCGATGTGTACATGCTGCAACCAGGTACCCGTTTGAGGCTGAGTCGACCTAGGGGAGGCCCATGACCGGTTCAGATTCATTGTTACTGATGGTGTTGGCCGTGAGCGGAAATAGAACTCGGGTCGCCGGGTTCGTACCCACCCCCATACCATTACCACACACACACACTGAGCCTCACACACACACAGCCTCACACACACACACTCAGCCTCACACACACACACAGCCTCACACACACACACTCAGCCTCACACACACACAAAGCCTCACACACACACACTCAGCCTCACACACACACTCAGCCTCACATACACACTCAGCCACACACACACACTCAGCCTCACACACACACTTAGCCTCACACACACACAGCCTCACACACACAGCCTTACACACGCACTCAGACTCACACACACACAGCCTCACACACTCCCTCAGCCTCACACACACACCTTCAGCCTCACACAAACACAGCCTCACACACACACACTCAGCCTCACACACACTCAGCCTCACACACACACACTTAGCCTCACACACACAGCCTTACACACGCACTCAGACTCACACACACACAGCCTCACACACTCCCTCAGCCTCACACACACACACTCAGCCAACACACGGACTCAGCCAACACACGCCCACACACGTGTGCACACAAACGCCTCGCGTAGCACTCTGCCCGTGAAAGACACACATGCACAATCACACACACACACAAAATATACACACACACCCTCACACCATTCACTCTCAAACACATACACACGTACGCACACACACACATGCACACTTACATACATGCACAATCACACACACACACAAAATATACACTTACGCACACCCTCACACCATCCACTCTCAAACACATACACACTACCGCACACACACACACATGCACACACACATGCACATTCAGCACAATAAATAAAGACTTGCACACGTACATAAACACACACGTACACTCAACTGAATAACACGTTAATACTTCTATACACACGCACGCACACGTACACGCACGCTCTCGCTCACACACTGACATACACACACAACAACAACAACAGACACGTGCACGAACAAAGGTGTAAAAACAGCAGCCGCTATTCGCACACGAAGTGGCGGTGACGTCACCGCAGGGCTTGTGCCGGGCTAGGTGCACTTTCAGCCAAGTGTGAGAAGCTGGCTGCGAGCAGGCGTTCACGGGACAGGCCCAGGTGCTATGGCTTAAGTGATAGAGTTGACTGGCAGATGCACCACCAGGTGCTCCCCACTGTGCCACACAGATGTGCTCAAACGAACGCACATCATTCAAGCGTTCAATCATGCGCAAAGACCCCCCGTGTAGCCTTAGCAGAGTGTTGAGGGCAAGCACTGATAGCAAGCACCTAGTCGGCCAGCATGGCACACGAGGGGGTGGGTGGCCAGGACTACGTCCAGCCGCCTTTGGCTTGCCCAGTGGTGGTGTCTACACACTGCTCCACGTACTCATTTTAGGCCGAGTTGACCTAGGAGGGAGGCTCAGGATTGGTTCAAATATCACTTGTTGTTGGGGGGGGGGGGGTCGAACTCAGGTCTCTGGGTTCGCATAAGACTATATGGTCAATAGTTTGGGTTGCACGGCGCAACCAAGTGACTTATCATGGACAGGCCTCATATGCATTGCTTTAAACACGTACCATCAACACCGCAATGTGCGATTGTGATACAGAAAGCGATGCTTTTTGTGTTAACCTATGCAGGAAAGCTTCCATCGCTGAATCTCAATGCGTGATCTCAGGAGGAGATGCTGCTTCAGATGTATGGCCAATTTCCCCCTTTTGAGCCGTTTCTGTGTTGAAGGAGAGACGAGACATGAACCCGCGACATTCATTCAGGTCACGCGAACGAATGAGCCCTCTGAGCCAATTAACGTGAGTCAATATCCCGTGGTGAACGACGGTCACCCACCATCGTGATGTGTTAACGCAACGCAATGGCTCTCCAACACACCGGTGTGCTGTGCTCGTGACGAATTGGCCACGTTCTGTTTACGTGACAACCCTTACTAGTTGGCTGTGTCGGGTGGTGACGGGTTTTAACGACACATTTATAGATGTACGCGAACTAACCACACAAAAAAACCTCTATGATGGGCAATGCAATGGGCTTCATTATCCCGATCTCAACAACAACAACAAGAAACTCGATTGACTTAGCATGGCACGTCCATCACAGACGACCGCGACCGACTAATGTCAATTCCAATTATGGTTCTTGAAGGGCTATAAAGCTGAAACTTGGCACAAATGTCGCCAAAGGCGTATGCATGACGGTGACGGTCATGATTTATAAGGCCACTTTTTATACGCGGTGGGTGGCATGACCGGTTCAGGTATCACTCACCGCTGATTTTAGCCTTGGCCAGGAATCGAACTCAGTTGGCCAGATTCCGAGCGCCGTGTGGACATAACTGGGGGAAATCTGAAAATCAACGATGGTTCAATTTGGGCTTGTTGCTTCGTTTTCACTCGGAGAGCAGCTGGGTCAAGCCTACAAGGTTCTCCAATGCTTTCAGTCTGGCGATAAAGACTTGCAACATCATATAGACAGACCAGTGTTCTTACATCTTCACTGTAAACCAGGTGAGTCTATGGGCCCCAGGTGAGTCTGTAGACCAGTGTTCTTCACTCATCTTCACTGTAGACCAGGTGAGTCTATGGGCCCCAGGTGAGTCTGTAGACCAGTGTTCTTCACTCATCTTCACTGCAGACCAGGTGAGTCTATGAGCCCCAGGTGAGTCTGTAGACCAGTGTTCTTCACTCATGTTCACTGTAGACCAGGTGAGTCAATAGGCACCAGGTGAGTCTGTAGACCAGGTGAGTCTATGGGCCCCAGGTGAGTCTGTAGACCAGTGCTCTTCACTCATCTTCACTGTAGCCCAGGTGAGTCAATGGGCCCCAGGTGAGTCTGTAGACCAGTGCTCTTCACTCATCTTCACTGTAGCCTAGGTGAGTCAATGGGCACCAAGTGAGTCTGTAGACCAGTGCTCTTCACTCATCTTCACTGTAGATCAGGTGAGTCTATGGGCTCCAGGTGAGTCTGTAGACCAGTGGTCTTCACTCATCTTCACTGTAGATCAGGTGAGTCTATGGGCTCCAGGTGAGTCTGTAGACCAGTGCTCTTCACTCATCTTCACTGTAGATCAGGTGAGTCTATGGGCTCCAGGTGAGTCTGTAGACCAGTGTTCTTCACTCATCTTCACTGTAGCCCAGGTGAGTCTATGGGCCCCAGGTGAGTATGTAGACCAGTGTTCTTCACTCATCTTCACTGTAGACCAGGTGAGTCTATGGGCCCCAGGTGAGTCTGTAGACCAGTGTTCTTCACTCATCTTCACAGTAGACCAGGTCAGTCTATGGGCCCCAGGTGAGTCTGTAGACCAGTGTTCTTCACTCATCTTCACTGTAGATCAGGTGAGTCTATGGGCTCCAGGTGAGTCTGTAGACCAGTGCTCTTCACTCATCTTCACTGTAGACCAGGTGAGTCTATGGGCCCCAGGTGAGTCTGTAGACCAGTGCTCTTCACTCATCTTCACTGTAGACCAGGTGAGTCTATGGGCCCCAGGTGAGTCTGTAGACCAGTGCTCTTCACTCATTTTCACTGTAGACCAGGTGAGTCTATGGGCCCCAGGTGAGTATGTTGACCAGTGTTCTTCACTCATCTTCACTGTAGACCAGGTGAGTCTAGAGCAGGTGAGTCTGTAGACCAGTGTTCTTCACTCATCTTCAGGGGGCGGGGGGCATTTTCGCCGATAAGACATCATCAGTGTGAGGGGCCGCCGCACATTTGAAACCATGGGGGGGTTTAACAGCAGCACGATGATGATGATGGGGGTTGTTTTCACATTTTATTTATTGTCGAGGGCCCCATTAAAGGCCACCAGGGGGCCGTCAGTGGCCCGCGGGCCTTGCAATGAAGAACCCCACGATCAGTGGACCGAGTAATTCGCCTCCCGTGAAGTGTGACGCTAAAGCCGATAGAAAACGGGCAAAGTCTGCTTCCGGCTACTGGTACTGTATACGTACAGTAATACTGTGTACGTTACAGTACACAACTCGGTCGAACAGTCAATACAAGCAGGGCTGTCAGATAACGGCAGTTGTCTTGTGGAAATACGTGCCCCCTGCCATAGCAATGTGGAAAAGGCAATGTTGTGGGGAGCGGTGGCGCAGTGGTTAGCGCACTGCACTGTGAACCTTACGACCTGAGTAATCTACACTGCCTCCGTCTGACATGCGTGAGTGGCGAGTATTTGAACCGGCCTTGGCCCTCCCTCTATACTTTCCACCCCACTTCATCACGCCACACTGACCAGCGTGGTGAAGTATGGTCAAACAACCCCCAGACGGAGGCGAAGAGGTTTTAATCCAAGGGGTCGGATTCACAAAGGACTGTGGCATGTACACAGATGGCCCTGTGTAAGTGGAACGCTCCGTGTGCGTTGTGTGTGTGAGATGCTTGCGCCCATCGTAGGTGCTCGCTAACAGCACTTGCCCCGGCAGTCTGTTGAGGCTACACGGGGGATCTTTGCCTTTGATGCCGTGCCCATCAAAAGCGGGGGAGCGGTAGCGTAGCGGTTCAGCGCACTGCGCTTACCCGAGTTCGATTCACGCTCACGGCCAACACCAGTGGCGATGATATTATCTGAACCGGTCCTGGGCCTCCCCTAGGTCGACTCAGCCTGAACTGAGTACCTGGCGCGGCGTGTAAACTTCCGCTACCGGGGAAGACAAAGGCGGCCGTGTCGTGGCCGGCCTTCATAGGTGCTGCCCGCTAACAGCACTCGCCCCAACAGTCTGAAGGCTACAACGGAGGGGGGATGATCTCTCTGCCTTTGATGATGCGGCCATCATAATAAACAAACAAAAAAAAGCAGCGCACACACACACGCGCGCATCATCCATCACATTCGCATCCCTGTCACGCCACGGGGCCCCCTTACACGGCACGGACACACGGTCGCGATGTGAATCATCAACATCGCGAACCAGACGAGATCCGGGACAGAAACACACACAAAAACAACCTCCGTCGACATCGGCGAACGCCTCCAGCAGCAAAGAAGGTCCAGCCGCTGCTGCTTGTCTTAGTGTGCCAACAACGTGGCTTGAACACAAAGATTAATCATTCACCCCCCTATCATATGTAGTCTTAATGACATACTTTCGGGGCAAGTGCTGTGAGCGAGCATTGCACATGTGAAGACCGGCGGGGTACATGAGGTTGGTTTGGTGGCCAGCATCACGCTCGACCGCCTTTGTCTCTCCCGTTGTGAGTATACACACACGGCATTGTGACAGATTGCGAGCGTGGGATGTGATGTGGTGTGTGTGTGTGCTTTGAAACTCACCAGTCGTCGTGTCTTTGGTCTTTTTCACGTGGCACTCCATCGATGGATGGGCACAGCGCGTGCCAGGAAAGAAACAACGCACACACGTGCGTGCGTGTGCAAGTGTACACGTGGGTACGTGTGCGTGCGAGTGTATACGCACACACACAAGTGTGTGTGTGCAAGTGTATACGCACACACACGCACGTATAGACGGACGGACGAACCGCACTCACAAAGAAACCAGTTTCATCACAGCCTTAAAAGATCTCTCGCACCGCTCCATAAAGGCCAGCAAAGTCTGTCTATCCAAGTGAGCTTTGGAACAACAACAACAAAAACAGGAACAATAACAACGACAACACTCTGAACGGGTAGCTACCTCCGTCGCCACCGCTGCTGCTATGAGCTTCGCACGCACGCACGCACTCCCCTCCTACAAACACGCGCACGCAGACGGGGGCGGAGGCAGTCTGGGCTGACACGGAGACCCACGGCACTCACGCACCCCACACGCGCACACACACGCACGCACACACACACGGGAAGAGGAGAGATGTTGGAGGCTGAGATGAGTGATCTCTCTCAAGACAGCCGCGCGCCTTCCCTTCCCCGCAATTGCACGCGGAGCCTCGAGACAACTGGGGACGGGAGAAGAGAGAGGGGAGGAGGAGAGGGGAGGGAGAGGCAAGGGGAGATGGACGAGAGGCAAGGGGAGAGGGAGGAGAGAGCGGGGGGGGAGAGAGGGAGGTGGAGGAGGAGGGGGAGGAGTGGGGCGGTGTGAGCGGACTGCGGGTCTGGGCATGCGGCCAAGCGTGGCTTGGAGTGGCGTGCCAGCACGCACGCGCACGCATGAACACACACGCACACACACGCACGCACACACTCCATCACGCACGTACACCGTCTCACGCATGTGCACACGCACACTCCCACACACAAAAACTCATGAGCACACACACACTCCATCACGCACGTACACCCTCTCACGCATGTACACACGCACACTCCCACACACACGCACACATACACAAACTCATGAGCACACACACTCCATCACGCACGTACACCCTCTCACGCATGTACACACGCACACTCCCACACACACGCACACATACACAAATTCATGAGCACACACACACTCCATCACGCACGTACACCCTCTCACGCATGTGCACACGCACACTCCCACACACACGCACATGTACACAAACTCATGAACACACACACACACGCTCCATCACGCATGTACACCCTCTCACACACCTACATACCCACACGCACACAAACTCATGAACACACACTCCATCACGCACGTACACCCTCTCACGCATGTGCACGCGCACACTCCCACGCACACGCACACAAACTCATGAACACACACACACGCTCCATCACGTACACACACAAAGACCCCCGTATAACCTTTAACAGACTGTAGGGGCAAGTGCTGTTAGCGAGCACCTATGAAGGCCGGCACGGCACACGAGGGGGTGGGTTGCCAACGCCACGCTCGACCACGTTTGTCTCCCCAGTGGCGATGTTTACGCTCCGCACCAGGTATCCATTTGAGGCCGAGTCGACCTAGGGAAGGCCCAGGACCGGTTCAGATAATCGCCACTGGTGTTGGGCCGGGAATCGAACTCGGGTAGCCGGGTTCGTAGCGCTGCTAACTGCTACACTACCGCTCCCCACTATACACACACATACACATACACACGCTCACACACACACGCTCACACACACACACAGGCTCACACACACACATAGACTCACACACAGGCTTACACACACACAGACTCACACACACGCCCACACACACAGGCTCACACACACACAGGCTCACACACACACAGGCTCACACACACACACAGAGAGGCTCACACACACAGGCACACACACACAGGCTCACACACAGGCTCACACACAGACACACACAGGCTCACACACACACACAGGCTCACACACACATAGAGAGGCTCACACACACACAACTCATGAATAAGCACTCCAGCACGCACGTGCACTACCTCGTGCACAAATATAGTACACACAAAGATAAAGATCCCCCGTATAGCCTTAACAGACTGTAGGGGCAAGTGCTGTTAGCGATCACCTATGAAGGCCGGTACTGCACACGAGGGGGGTGGGTGGCCAACACCACGCCCGGCCGCCTTTGTCTCCCCAGTGGCGATGTTTACACATCGTACCAGGTACTCATTTGCGGCTGAGTTGACCTAGGGGAGGCCAGGACCGGTTCAGATCATCGCCACTGATGTTGGCCGGGAATCTAACTCGGGTAGCCGGGTTCATAGCGCAGCACAGCGCTGACCGCGACACTACCGCACACGCAAAGTCGCATAACTGATGCATGTGTACTGCCTTTTTAAATCCTTTATTAAGTTCGCTTGCTTGCTTGCGTGCTTGCGTGCTTGCTTGCTTACGACCGTGCAAATCTTTCGCTAGTTTTTTAACCCACTTCCCGTGATCCAATCGAGCTGACATTTTCCACACAGACTCGTTGTGTATGACAATTAATGTTCGTGAAAATTTTTTTCAAAAATTTTACACTGTTTAGGGAAAACAAATTAAATATTTAATTACCAATTGCTTAATACTGGCAGACAATCATCTGACCCATAGGTGGCAGCCATCTCAAGCCAGAGGACGAGAGGACTCTAGCCGCCACGCATATAAAGGATTTATAGTGAAAAACTTTGTTTTTACGGGTTATACTTATTTGTATTTGGATTGTCAGCCAACACCGGTTACAACCCGAAGTCGAGATACACCGATTGTTCTCTTTTAGCCCCGCCCACCCCCCAACACGTTCCATTCACTGGCTACCACATTCAGACAAGCCCCTCCCCCCCTCCCCCTTAACTTGTATTTAAGAGCTTGTCTCCTGGAATTTTGCCTCACTTGACGGTCCCACCTGATGACGGAGACTTGTGTTGCCTCCGAAACGTCGTGATTTTTATTATTTTATTTCTATTATTATTTCTATTATTATTATTTTTTATTTTTTACCTACGTGACTTTACCGGAAAAAAAACCCTAAGAGTATGATGCATGTGTAGTGACACAGCGCCGACTGCTGTACAGCAGCAGCAACTGCACTGGACACGAAGCGCACACGCTGCTGGGCACACACAAACACGCACATGCGCTGTGTGTGTGTGTGTGCCGGCAGGGCGGAGGAACTGGGGCAATGCCCCCGGTAGACCTCGTGGGGAGGGCCCCCTGGAACCCCGTGGTGAGTTTCGAGAAGGGAGGCCGAGGGGAATAGAAGCGGCGGAGAGCTCCGGGATGACGGTTCTGGGAGTGGACTCGTCTCAGTCGACGGTTCATCACGGACAGGGTCGTGCCTGGGACGGTCTCGTGTCTGGGACAGCGTGATCGTGAGAGAGGGGTGAGAGGCCGGAGTTGGTGGCACACACACACACACATGTGCCTCGAGCAGAGGTCGCAAACGGGTTTTGATTCCTTACCCGTACCCGTACCCGGCCGCACCAGGGTCGCAAACGGCTACCCGTACCCGGCCGGGTACGGGTAGCCGGGTATCGGGTAGGATACGGGTATCGGGTACCCGGTTGCGACCTCTGGCCTCGAGGGAAAAGAAGAAGAGCACACTCTATCACGCATAGTACGCACACTCATGCATATGCACAGTACACACGCGCACACACACACTCATGAATGCACATCGCTCAAACGCACACGCTCATGCATGCATGTACAGACACGCACATATAAACATACATACAAGCACACGTACACACACAACGTCATTCATACCAATTCATTTACGCACCCGTACATATACACATTCACGCATACGAACACAATATTTTCATACATACGCACAGACATACATACAGACATACACACTATCATGCATATTCCATCACGCATGCGTACGTAGACTCGTGAACACAGGCATACAAAAGACAAAAACAAAGATCCCCCCCCCATAGCCTAAACATACTTGCGAGGGGGTGGGTGGCCAACACCACGCCCGGCCGCCTTTGTCTCCCCTGTGCCGATGTTTACACTCCGCACCAGGCACAGTCAACTCTTGAGTCGACATGGGGGAAAGGCCTGGAACTGTGGATCAGTTGTTCGCCACTGAATGTTGATCGTGAGTCGCGGTTGAACTCGGGTCGCCGGGTTCGTAACCACTGTGCTACCGCTCAACATACGCAGACGTATCCATACACGTACGGACAGGCTCACGTGTACACACACGTTCGTGATAAAAAAAAAAACACACACACTCATGCATATGCATAGTTGTAAACGCTCATACATATAGACACATTCATGCATGCACACAAACACAATCTCGCCCATACACACACTTCTACGTATCCATGCATATTCATACATAAGCTCATACACACCTACACTCGTATATACACAGACGCACTCTTATTCATCCAAAGCCATGCGCCACTAAGTGGTGGTGATATCGCCACGATGCTCGTGCCAGGCTAGGTGCACGAAGAGGCCACGTGAAATGTTGATGGCTCACTGGCAGCGGGTCGTGGAACAGATCCAGATGTTATGCGTCGACTGCTCGAGATGACTGGCAGATGCATTGCTAACGCTTCCCACTGTGCGAACTCGCTGTGTGTGTTATGGCCACCCAGTTCTCTGTTCGTTATTTTGAGCATTTCTCCTCCGTCTTCATTGCCAAGTGCAATCAGCTTCATGTCCTCCTGTGCCACAACGGGTCATCTGTGCTCGAGCCCATGCCATGCCTGCGTAGCTCCATCTATCTGGCCTAAGAAGAAGCTGTTTGGGCATGCTGCAGCCTTGGCTGATGGAGGAGTTCACTGATGGCACTATCTTCTTGGTTCTTTCGGTAAAGTCACGTAGAAGGGGAATAATAAAATAATAAAAATAAAACATAATAAAATAATTCTCACGACGTTTCGGCCACAACGCAACGAAAGAACCAAGAAGATGACTCCCTGCAGTCTCGAAAGCTTTAAATCGAAATTTGATGGCACTATGTTCAGATCTTTCAATTAATCTATAAGCCCATCACTCAACTCAAATGTTGTTAAGCCTTCCAGATAGGATTGTCGGCAGAGAAAGCGTGAATATTTCAAGCTGGTGCATATTTTCCTGTCCAAGAGTCCGCGTTTCACAAGTACAGATAAGAGAGGACATGATTATGGTGAGAAGCCACAGAGCGTGATGTGGAGTGGCAGGCCAAGCAGTTTCCCAACATCGTTACACAACTGATGCATGGATAATGCTGCACAGCGGATTAGGTATGAGACCTCCTCTGTCAAACAACAACAGGCCACGAGCGCATCGTCATTGTATGGAAAGGCTCTACCTGTCCCCTGATTTGTTCTGGTGAGGCTGATAGGCCTCACATCTTAGCAGAATAACTCCAGGTTCCATAGATATATCTCCAACTACTTCTCAGAGTGAGCAGAAATCAGCAAGTGATCAGCATACATACAATGCTTAACCAGTAGGGAGCAATCCCTAGACCACACATGGTCCTCAATCAGCCTCTCATCGTATCTGT